TGCTAAGTATGACAACATTAGCATTTCCACTTAATTAAAAACACCCTTAAAGCAGCAATGTTTTAATCACTCCATTTTATTTACTCTCCTCCGGTGTCACTTATAATTGTAACTTTTTATTTTTTAATAATGAGGGATTTTTTTTTTCTCTGTGCATCACACAAAAAAGTGCTGTCGATAATTAGCAGTCTTCTGTTATTACTAGACTCAGGTGTCACAACTGTGTCTCATCCTCATTACAGTAAAAAATTTCACCTATCAGATTCATTATTGCTAGATAATGCGGCTGAGAGCCTTAGCAGGCCCTCCAGAAAAGTAATTCAGCCAAGCAAAATTATCAGCTAATTATATTTAGAATCAAAAGCCCAACAACTATTTGCAGATAAATTGTATGAATTGAAGTGAATAGATCTGAATATTAAGATTCATAGATTTAGCAGATGATTTGTTAATTGGAATAAAAAGGTCATTTACTAGCCATTTTAACAATAGATCAATTGGAACTCTGTTTATGATTTAACTAGGAGCGCTTAAGGATTGAAATGAAGGAGCGTTGTGTGATTGTTGTGATGTGCTACTTCTCAGGAACAAGGCAGGGAGGTGTGGAGGCGAGGAAGCTTCCCTGCTCAGCCTCAGCCTGCCTCTGCTCCCATGGCATCCTTAGGTCTGGGCAATAAGGGGATGCTCACAGAAGGAATCCCTGCACCGCAGGACGAGCTGTCAGGGAACGCATGCAGACTTGGGTGTGGAAAGGTAGGCAGCCTGCAGATAGGATTAGCTGGAAAGGAAAGAATTGCAGAGTTTAACTTGTAGTCGGTGTGCTCCAGAAGCACTGAGTTCAGATTTCACTAATTTGAGATCCTGATGGAGGTTTCTTGTACGGGGAAGCTGTGTGCACAAGCGATGACTCAGACTGCATCTTGGCCTGCAGTTTTGTTGGAGGGAGCTGCTCTTTTTTTTTCGTGCAGGCGATACGATTAAAAAGCAAATATTTTAACATAACTTAGTGATCTGAGCTATTACTGAAATGTCCACAGTTTCGCTCTTTTTTTTTTTCCCCCTAGATTAAAGAAAACTTTAAAAATCTATTTGCTTTGACATATGACACAATATTTAAGAACTGAAATCATCAATTAAATCACACATCAGAAACATTTCCCTTTGGTAAAAAAAAAAATATAGTGCTAGACGATGTACACTTTGAAATTGTTGTTAATGTTTAAAATGCAATCTGAAGTGCATATGTTATTTAAAAAAAAAAGCCACATAAATTACAAAATTTAAAAGTTTATGTAAAAACTAGCAATCATTGCTTAGCAAAAGCATTTGCAGGGGGATATATCTTTGGGTTCTGTGGATATGCGTAGTTTTCTAGCATGAGGGCTGGTTGTGATATTCCTTATTTAATTTTTTGGCTCCTTAAAACAAAGTCGAGCTAAAGGAAGCAAAGTTTGGTGTGCACTGGCCTGAGTGCCTGTAATAAAGCCAACGTGCACATGAATGCAGCAAAAGCCTTTTGGGTTGTTCCTGAGAATGAAAGGTGAACGCTGACAAAATTTCAGATCTTGGGAAACCGAGGGAAAGTGAAGCTAAAAATAAAAGACCTCGTATGGTCAACATGTTGGAGGAAATTCAAAGCCTCTCATCAAATAAACATATTTAAAGAAGTGTTTTGAATTTCGGTGTGTAATTTCTGGCCAACAGAAATTACAGTTGTATCTTCAGGGGGACGTTATGTCACATCAGTGGTCATTCTGCAAAAAAAAAAAATAAACTGCAAACTTGATGCCTTAACCCGCTCTGCTATTAAAATGCAGGCAGGGATGGGATAGCTTCTCTTAGAGTCGCTGCTAGGAAACTTTGTGCCATTGTGTCACAATTCCAAAATATTTGGGCTCGATGTTGTGGCAGATATATAAATCAGCCCTAGAAAAAAACGAACCCTGAAAGCATCACAAGATCTTGGTATTTATTACAAAAAGTTTGCGTCCTGATAAAGAAAGGGAGTGATCTGAAGCTCATGCTAGCACTAGAATATCCCAACCCAAAGAGTGCTGTTCCTGGGGCCATTCCATTGTAGCCTTTGGAGTCCGAGTGTGCAACAGGAGCATCTCTGTGGCTACACACCCATAGACACGTGCACGTATGCCCTCGTTTCTCTGCAGCATTATTAAGAGAAGCCGTCCATACTTCACCATGTTGTTACATGTGTCTGTCTGCTGATTATAAAATGTGTTAAGCAGTATTTAAAAAACAAAAAAATGCAGAGCTGCGCTTTGATTTATTCAGCGAACAAAACATATGCTCACTGTTCTGTTCTATGTAATTCATATGATCAATAAAATTTTCTTTCAAAAGAGCAACTTTGGCATTTAGAAGGATTGTGCTGCTGAGCAGGAGAATGTTTTACTCGTGCTACGTGCAGTCAACCTCCGTGGTCCTGCACCAAAGGAAGTTTTTGGCTCCCTGACGTCGTGCTCATCTTTTGATTACTTTTAACCTTCAGGGTGGAAGCGGTGCATTGTGGCTGTTACCCGTTGTGTCCCAAGGCCTTGGTGTACCCGGAGATCTTCCCAGGTAGCTGCTTTGCTGCACACACTTTTGGTTGAAAAGCGACATGTGATGCGTGCTAAAATGTAAAGTTTGAGTATAAACTCGAGCAAAAGCAATTGTTTATTTGGCAAGCCGACATGTTAGTGTTAAGGAGAATTTTATGTGTTTTAATACATTAGAAGAAGTTTATATTTGCCATCTGTTCTTTTAAGATAACACAAAAGCAAGTTTTGAAATAGCATTCTTCATTGTTAGCATACACAACCCATAATGATAGATTTTTGTTAGAAGGTCAGCGGCGCTGCAATGGTTTGCAGATTTTTTTGAGATAGAGAAAAAAAAAGAAAAAAAGAAAAAGGAGGCCTGAAAATCACACCAAATTATTTAAACAATTTAATACTTAATAGTATGCAACTGCGATATGGGATACACACTAATGTAGTACCAGTTCTTTGAAAAATCTCATCACTAAATGTATCACATATGCATTGTGTTACATTAGAATAATGTATTTTAATCACCCAAAGGAGATGTCTAAACAGCACAACTACACAGTCTTATTTAGCATTAAACATCCTTGTGAGCTGAGGTAACCTTATAAAATCATGCTTAAATAATGTAAAACACGAGGCGGCACAGAGCAATATGCATTTTTAATTAGTAAAGTGACTAATATCGAGTGTGTGCTTTGAGGTTTTTGTTTCATTAAAAATGTATCTGTTTTTCCTGCAGCTGAATATCTGTATTCTACACCTGAACAGCTTTTTAAAAGGCTTCAGAATTTCTGCAAGAGACCAGATATTGTAAGGAAACATCTCTATAAGGTAGTTGTTGGGAAGAGTTTTTACATGATATAATGCCATATTGAAGTACAAAGGCAAAAAAAAAAAACCAACCCTTAAAACAACAACATTTAATTAACATACTAATGTTTAAAGGAAACATGCTAGGGAGGGATATTAGTCGTTACACTAACAAGGATTAATTAAACTAGATGCCGGTTGTATTAACCTAGGTCTTATGAAATACGTGCACTTAATGCATGCTACATGCTTTTTTTTTTTTTTTTTTTAATTTATTGTTTTCTAAAATGACTGTCCTTTACATTGGGACCCAAGAGGCTTATAAAAATGAACCTGGATTAATGTAACTCATTAGTCTAAAAGGAAAATAAAAGAAAGATCCTACAATTATACTAATGAGGATAAACCTACCTTCCTATCCTAATTTAATCTTTGGTCCTCAAAACGTGCAGGTGCTGGGTACCAGGTAATGTTTCTCTGCCTTTTGGAAATACCAGAATTCTTTTGATGGCTGTGACTATTTTAGCTCTTTTTTTTTCTTTTTTTTTTAATGTTGAGTGTAAACGCTTCTTAGTAGCATGATGTCCTGTTGTTTATTGTGTCCTGTTCTTTGCCCTTACTTATCTGGAGAAAATATATGTTCGGTAGTAGATGTTCTGTTCCATTTTTGATCAAGTGTTCCACGCCAGACTGACTTTCCCAGCTTTAAGGTGTGGATTACATAGAGCACTAAATTGTACGTTATTTCAGTAAAAACATATTGTTACACTATGCTGCTGTTAGAAAACAGCTGCCATTGTCTGCATGCTAATATGTAAGCTTGCAGCATTTTCTGCTCAGTTGCAGCTGTAAATGCTGGACATGCTGTGATCAGGGCAGATAAAAGTCACCCTTTTGTGACAAAGGTGCTTCAGGTAGAATCTGTAACAGTCTGCATTCATTCCTTCAAGGGAGCTCATGGGTTACCTGTGCAGTGCAAAAGCACCCTCTTTTGCAGCACTGTATCCACCCAGCATGCTGTTACTGAGCAAGTCGAGTCATCTCCTTCCCCATGCTGCCAGCACATCTCATCTCTCTGCGTTCCTCTGAGGACCAGAAGCTGTGGTCTTGCTGTGTCTCGTCTGCCTCCCCACCCTTCTGCACACACATGGAGCAGGAGTGAGAGTTTAGCCCCAGTTTGACTCCTCATGTGACCTAAAAATAGGCATTTACATAATGATACATCAAAGATGATGTCGTTTCTGCAGGAAACAGTTAAACTTCAAGAAAAAAAGGAGAGAACCAAAAATGCAATTTAACACCCAATTTCAAGCTCATTATCTTTCATTGTCTATTAACTTGGCAATGGTTCAGAAGGTAGCTCATAATAGTTTAAAATGCTGACTGAACACTTCCAGTGCTCAGCATTACTTCTGGAGTCAATAGTGTTGTGTAGTTATACATGGTGGCTTCAAAGGGTAAACAGTCCTTAAACGTCTGCCTTGACATTTTCCTGTGCTTCCAGTCCAACAAATAGTTTTGGGTCTTCTCTGCATGTGTGCAGCCCCAGATCCTAAAGAAAACCAAAGCTGGCACACCAAAAATGGGAATAGCAGCAGAGCAAATACTGATATTAAATAGGATAGGTTTCAGATGTGGTGCGGGGATCGGTGTGCACGTGAGCCCCATGAGCAAAAGAACTAATCTGCTTTAAGGATGCTCTTCAGAAATAAAAACCAACAAACATCCCTTGGAATTGTTGGCAGGCAGGGTGTCCATGGAAGAATTATCCCATGGGTGCCAATTCTGTCCCTTGTAGGCAGACTTGTGCTCCATCGTGCCCTGGCTGCGACAGGTAGCAACTGCACTGAATGGGGATCGTTTTAAATTGAGTCAAGGGACTAATCCAATACCTGTGAACACCAGGGGAGGGATCCTGTTGTCTTTAATAGGCTTTGGCTCAGCTCTGAGAATGCTGTTAGAGTTGTCTTTTGTACCTACACCCACGTACACTAAGTCTGTATTCTGCCCTGAAACTGTCCCTGAAACCTAGAGAAGTGCTAGCTTAGGTACGTGCTGCTAATGGAATTAGAGGTGGAATTATGCTTCTTTTAAGGAAGCTGGAGAGAGTAAAATCATGAAGGGCATGCAGCACTTCCACTTTCTTCAGATTGGTATAATGCTTTATACTATACAGAAAAATTTGCCAACTGGGCTGCTTCTCTTCCAGAAACCTTCCTGCCTAAGTCCATACAGTAGCTGTGCAGTCGTGACAAAAAAGCAAATAATGCTGTTCTTTATTGCTTGGAGATTCTGCTTTATAGATCAGAAAGCAATCATCATCAGAAGTACTTTGAGTTATCTTTTTACATACTGTTGTTGTTTTATTACGGAGGATATCCATAATAATTAGACAGCGGTCTCATTAAGCAGGCAGTTCTTCCTCTGGTTGTCCTCAGTGCTTGTGCAGCAAAGTTTGGGGCAAAAAGAAGATGAATGGCAGCGGGGCAGCCAGGTTAGGGAACCAGACACAGTGAATATCCCTGTGACAGTGCACAGACCCACGTATTAAACTGTAATAGCTTAATTCCATTCATGCTGGCAGACTTTTAAAAATGTCCATAATGTAAGCACCTACGAAAGGCTTTCCAAATGACACATTGCTTACCCTGCATATTCTCACAGCACCAGGGCTGGTTCATTTGCATTTCCACACTGCCTTCTACCAGTCGTTAAGAGAAGATTGAGATTCATGGAAATCAAACCACATTTGTTATCAATTATTTGTTCTAGTTTTAAAGAATCAAAAGTTCCTCTTTGGTTCTCGGTATTTGTGGTTGCTAAATTAAGTGCCAGAGTGAAGCCAGTATGAACAACAGGGCATCAGTTTCCATTGGAGCACACCACAAGACCTCTCAGTATTTGCAAGCTCCCTTGCAAAAAAAAAAAAAAATATATATATATATATATACATGCATATATATATATATAGGGCAAAGCATTTGTTTCTGCATTATTTTCTTGAAGTTTACCTTTCAGTTCCCTCACTTCAGTTTCTTAATTTAAAACAGCATGTATAAAGATTATACAGTGGAAAGGGACAAGAAGAGTTGCCAAAAGCCAGGCATGGAAGGAGCTGACAACTTTAAATAATCTCTCCCAGCCCTCCCAGCTGAATGAGTGCTGGTTGACATGCTGTCAGCTTCAGTTCCTGCAGAAAAATCCTACTCTCACTCATGCTTGTTTAACAGAGAAAAGAATTTGGCCCACTTTCTGACATTCATCTTCTCATTTCCATCACACTACAGAAGCTCACCTGCTTATGAAAAGACACATGGTGTGATTTTTTTTTCTTCTTACACCACTGTAGAAGATAAAGAACCATGTTGAATTCAAAGGGATTAAACTGCTGTAAAATCAAATTAAGATCCCAGTTAGACCTTAGACGTCTGAATTGTTCCAGTCTCAAGATTTGCCTGAATAGGGCAGTTCTAACAAACCTTTCTCCTTTTTTCTTTTTTCTTTTTTCTTTTTTTTTTCATCCTTTTTGCTCCAATTGACATAAAGCATTTACTTCAATCTTTCAGGCAAACAGGTAGAAGTTCCCTTCTGGTCCAGCTCTGATATCTGGGCACAGCCAGGTGGCAAAAGGCATTCCCAGCAACTTATTGCACCTGCATGCAGCTTCCCTCAGCCAGCTCAGTGAGGTTAGCGTGGGCTGACTCTGTTGCATGGAGTGTAAGTTCTTCATAGTTCTTGCACAGGCCATATAAGAGCCAGAAATGATGAATCTGCCCTTGCACTTCTCCACTCCCCATCAGAACTCTATAAAAAAGCATTTTTCTGTAGGGAAATGCTACATAATAGACATTCAGGCCCTAGGAGACCTCTGTCCTTGACTTTTCTTGGCTTTCTGCAGCAAGGCAAGTGCGTGTTTGCAGATGGCATTCCAAACTTTGCCTTCCCCTGCTCCACACCTTCACCTTCATTGAACGTCTCCTCGTTCTAGAGCTGTTTGCCTGGAAGCAGAAGCTTTCACTCCATCTTTTCCATGCCATTCATTATTGTGTAAACGTTTGTCAAACACTTACAGTATCCTGGACTTTTCAGTCTCTCCTCGTGAATGTTATTCCATGTTTATATTCTTATCTGCCATCATTCAAGC